CCCCAAAACCCCAAAACCCCAAAACCCCATATCTATATTAGCTTCAGAATTAGCTTTAAAAATTATTAATAAAATTTAATGGAAAAATCATCCTCTAAATTCAATATTGCTATTGACAGAACATTGGTAGAAAAGTCGTCTCCAGATTAGTAAGGAAGATCAAATCTGAAAGTTACAATTAAAGAAGAAGAATAAGTACCTAAGCGACCAAGAAATGATATCAAAGGTAAAACCTATTAATCCTTATGAATTACTTAAAGAAATACGAAGTTTCAAGCAATTAGATAAAGTAGAACTAGATGTAGAATCGCCAAGATTGCAGCAAGCGTGCATTAATCTTGGTATCAGTATTGAAGAACTATATAAAAAGTAAGTTAAAAATAACTTATTAATTTTAAAATAGAAAGAGAGAAGATTTCGTTTAAAAAGGGGTAGATGAGGATATTATAAATCTGAGATTTAAGCATTTTCAGCAAAGATTGATAGATACTATCAATAATGTACTCTGCGAAAGGAGAAATTTAAGTATGATTATTTGGTGTAATTAATTTTAGAGATTAAAGAGATGCAACGGAAGTTGCTTGCCCAAAAGCTAAAAGCAGAAAGCAATGAAAAAAATAAGAGTCCTGAGAAATTAGAAAAATTAAATACAGCAGGTAGAATTTCAGGATTGCTATCGTAAAGAGCAATCACTCCAGTAGATTAGAAAATGATATCCAAATAAACTAGAATGATGAATCAAACAATAAGCGGAAACGGTTAGTTTGGAAATTTTCTCGCACCTCCAGCAACTTCTTCTTTTAGCAAGTTAGATGCATATCTGCTGCCTTAATAGAGTAGAATGAATATAAAATCTCACAGAGACTCAAGAACTTAAAAATAAAACATGATGAGTTCCACCTTCAACATTACTGAAAGCCATTAGTAAAGTATGTAGAATTTAACTGAGGGTAAAACTTGTCAAAACTAAACAAGTAAATCAAAGTTTAACAAGTAGCTTTCTTAAAGTGCTTTTGGAGGTAAAACATAATATAGTTAATCAACACAAAGTGTAAGCCTCTAACCTTAATAAAAAATCAATTTGAAATACTTGCTTTCATAGAGTGATCACAAAACCTCTTTAATTGATCACATTTATTAGAATAATCCACTACTTTCTGATTTCAAGCTTGACTCAGAAAGAAATTCAGCTATGAATAATACTATCAATAATTAGCAGATTAATTAGCCTGAGTCTATGAGATTGAGAAGCGCAAGCATAATGAATATGACATTGCAGTCAAACCCTCATACTACTATGTTTACATAGAGAAGGTAGTCTTAATAAGCAAAATTTAGAGCTCACCCACTAATTCAAGAAATATTGGATAAAGAAATGGAGAAAGTAGATAAGGAGAGAGCTCGAAGGCTGAGAATAATTAGATTACAAGTTGAACATAATGCTTAAATGCAAATTAAGTTGAAACAAAAGTAAAAACGAATTAAAAAAGCAGATAATGATCACGATAAGAATTTAAATAGTCATATTGAAACTATAACTTAGAAAAGGAATGCCAGATCATCTGAATAAAGAAAAAGAGCAAATCTTTTATCACAAGACTATGATAATCAAATTTAAGGTGAAATCGAAAGATAGAATTAATTGATGACTATGAGAGAAACAAAAGTATAAATTTTACAATCTGAGAGGAAATAATATCTCAAATAGAGAGATCTTGAACTCCAAGAAAAACTAAGACAAATTCGAGATGAAAAGAAATAAAATGAAGAGTTAGAGAATGAATAGTGTGAATCAAACTTAAAATCAATCAAAGAAAAACTTAGTAGGTCACAGATGAAGCATGAATAGTTTGTAAAGCAAAGGATAGATGAAGCTAAGTAAAAGAATCAGCATGCTGTTGGCATCTTTCATAAGCATCAGAAATCATTAGATATATTAAAGGAACACATGACTAAGAAATTAGAGACTTCAGACGAAAATCATAGGAAGTTTATTGCAGATAAGTTAGATGAATATAGAAACTAATTAGATGAAATTAAGCAGCAAAGTGAGGAAAAGTATTAAATGAACCATACTAGGAGATAGCTAGATCAAAAAGCTTATGAAGAAAGACTTGGAATTTTATAGAAATAATAAGAAGAAGTAAGAGATTATAAAGAATAAGTAAGAAGAGAGTAAAACAAGGAATTTATGCTTTAAAATGAATATAGAAGACTTAAGTCTGAGGATATTAGAAAGCTTAGAGAAAGACAAAAGAGGTTAGATTAAACAAAGAAGTATCACATCCTCTAAAAAGACAAAGATCACTAAGAGCTCTTGAAGCATTTACATGAAGGGGAGCAGCTTATTTTTAAAAAGAAAATGTAAGAGCTTAATTGAATTTATATAATATAGTGAAATGAGCGTTAAGACAATAAAAGATACAGATGAAATTAAGAATAAATTGGTAGATGCAAAAATTAAGAAGAAGACATTGACAGATTAGACAAAGGAGATGTTGGGAAAAGAGGGTATTCATGTTAGTGATGATGAGTAGACTAAGAAGAAAAAATAGAAGAAAATAATACCAAATTATGATTTCTATTCCCCAGCAATTATAGAGTATTGATTTGATATTAACAATGAGTATTTAAATTTTATTTCATCAGCGCTACAAAATCATTGAGAGGACAATGGGGTTTTGGGGTTTTGGGG